TATGATCCTAACCGTGTGTTTTGTGATCTGTTTAACCACTAACTAGTTGTTATTTAATGCATTGTGATTATTACAATCATCTATTTATTTAATATAAACAACAGTCTCTCCTAAAAATAATCTAACATGTTAATTCGCACAGCACAGATGCACCTAGTCCAGATGTGCATTCTTGCATTTGATTATACATTGACAACATATCACTCACTCAATACTAATGCAATAACATGCACACACACACACACACACACACACACGCACACACAACCACTGAGCTGTTTGACCGGTCAAACCCTCACAGATAATACACATCTGTTCAATCTACTCTAAAATCTACAAGGACAGATATGAGCAACTGCTGAAGTGACAAAGAAAGAGACAATAATAAACATCCTGGTCAAGAAGACTTCATTCCACAAGTCAAATGTCTGTGTAAGACTGGTAGTAGTTTTTGGAACAGCTAATGTAAAGCTAGACAAGCATATTTTCTGTATTTACATAAAGTCACAACAAGATAAACAGGAAGAAGAGCAAGATGACTGGCTGAAAACAAGAAAAACACTCTTTCACTCTGAATCAATTTGCCTGCAGACAAATTTAAGTCCAACAAATCCTTTTTCCTCATTATTCGACACAAACACACACCTTAAAAAGAAACACAATGTTTATGCTGTTTCAGCATTCCTCAAAATGTATTTGGGAAGTTGACATGAAATGCATTCGGAAAGTTGGCATGTCCTACTGTACTCCATCTAAAACTATTTTAAACAGCATTGTGTTTTTAATAAAAATTCAGCATTTATGAGCTGATATTAATTGTGAGATTACAGCAACGAGTTGTTTAAAAACAGTGGAAAATCTTAAGAGTAAAAATGTCCAGATACATGACCCTTTCCTTTGTACATTCGTATGAATTATAAACCTAAAATAATATAAATTATACATTTTAACCAATAATAATCTAAATTGAAACAATACCAGCAAATGCTAAATACCTAAATCAATTCATGAAACCACTCCATTTGTAAGCTTTATTAATGTAATAAGCTTAGATGACCACAGAAATGCAGAACACCTAAAGAATAGCTTTATCTTGGAGAAAAAAATACTGAGCCCTATCTAAGAAAACTGTGCACGACCTTTTACTTGCTCTACAAAACAAGTAGTGAAGAACATCTAATCAACTAACACACTCAAAGAAAAGAGAAAGCTACTGACGAAACTGTGAACAAAAAAGGCCTTATAAAGAAACTGTGGTTCTCAATCTTTTAAACTCCAAGACCACCATTGTCCAGACCATATAAAGCCCCCATTCTCGTGTATAGGCTAAGATAGTCAATTAGGTACTTCTGCTGTATTGATTACAATACTGTTTGTTTTTCCATCCTTTTATTAACAGAAACTATGAGTGTCAGTTAATTAAAATAATTAACTGCAATTAACATTGTGATTTCAGAACTTTCTGTTCAGAACTGTATGTTCGGCAGAAATAACAACAACAGTTATTCTAAGGACAAATTAAAACGATATGATGTCAGTTTATATGTTGATTTTAGCATTTAGCATGAAGTCTTTTAGCATTTTAAGTGATTAAGTATGTTTTTTAGTCTTGCAGGCCCCTTAGAAGTTTGCTGAGGCCCCCTAATTCCCAGTGGAGTATTTCATAGCTTTAGCTTGTTAAAATAAACACCAGAAATATTGAGTAGATTATCTTAAAGATGGCATAAAAAAAATGAAAATTCCAAATGCACGTTATAGATCTTACTGTGAATGATTCATCCATGTTTCATGTAGGGCTGTAACTAACGATTATTTTTGATGATTATTTTTTACGATTAGTCGATTAATCTATCGGTTATTGTTATTATTATCTAATTATTTTCTGATCAGTCGATTAATCCTTTAGGTTAACTTACCAATAAATAATAACCATAACTTCTGCCATAAATCTTTCAATGTTTTATTCAAACATTTTCTCATAAAATACCAAAAAAATGAAAAATACTAATATAAAAAATAACGAAATGCCAAGAATTAAAAGGCATCTATCAGTAATAAATGTCCATGATGGCTGCATTCATAGTCACTGTTTAGAGTTGACAACAAGGTGTGAGTCTTGAAATGTTTCGTTCATGTATGAACAAAGAGCAGTGACAGTATCAAAAATGGCTATGTCCATAATACCAGGAAGTTTTATCACAATTGACAGAGTGCTATTAAATAAACGAGTCCAATCAAGCCGTCAGATCACCATCAGATATTTAAAAAAATCGATATATTTTAAGTAGACTAAACCCGTCATGATTCTACAGTTCAGTGTGGCTCTCACATTAGGCTATATATGTCGTGGCAGACAACTAGTTGTCCAGTGCGGTTCTGTTCATTCAGCGCAGGTTTGTCGAGAATGCGTTCGTGAGTCCTGAAAATGTGCAGGTGTCAGTTTGGTTAATGTGCTTGTCAAAAGGCTGTATGAACGCAACCGTATTAAAGGGTAACTCTTGCCAAAATTGAACCTAGGCTCTTTTTGTTAATCTACCCGAGTCAAACTTTCATGTAAAAGCATAATTAGAATAGATACGCCACTTTTAAGATTGAGCGTATTTTCGTTTTAGGTCAAATTGCCTTTTGAATGGGAGTGCATGGGGCACTTCTATGATAGCATCAAAATCGCTATTTTTAAAACACAAAAAGGTGCGACACAACATAAAACTGTGCTCAAAGTATCACCAGGGGCTCTACACATGAACTTGAGCATTGGCTACATTGTTTGTGTACACAAAGTTTACTAAAAAGAAAGGTTTTGAACAACTCACTAGCTGTTGTCCTTCCCGGCCGCCGACATTTCGTCAGTCAAAAATAGTCGATCTGTATCACTGAATCATTTCATTATTATATGAGAAAGTTTGACTCGGGTAGATTAACAAAAAGAGCCTAGGTTCAATTTTGGCAAGAGTTATAAGCATCTGCTCAAGAGTTTTGTTTTGTGTGAAACAGGGGATTAGGGATTAATGTGAACAGTGTGACAAATCTGCACATTCCCCTCAAATCTACGTATTTTTGTAATCGACGTAATCGCGTCGTTCCAATTTTTTTACTCAACATCCAATCAACAAGCAATGCATGGAAACCAAGTCCCCACATTTTTTTATTTTTCGATAATGTTACATTCGGATGCAAGTCGCAAGTCGGAAGCCACACTATGGTTTCATTAAAACTTTAAACCTTTCGCTAAGAAAAATAGTCCATTAAAATACCGAAAACAATTGTCCTAACAGCAGGACAAAGGCTGCAACACTATTAAAATATATTATTAGTTACTTATTTAAAGGCATAGTTAGCCTAGCTCATAGTACTCAGTGCTTTCTATTTTAATTTCTATCCAAAATTTTGTCTTCCAACTGATGATTTTGAGGGCACCTGAGCCACTTCTAATAGCCATCTATTAAAAGTTGTATGCAAACCATAATATAAAGTTGCGATGAATTGGAGGTAATGAGAGATCTTTTCTTCCATACTGTGACGTGCATTTGAGTATTACGGATTATTGAAAAAGAAACAAATGTAGGGAGGGAATTAGTTCTATGCATCGGTTGTTGATTGGATTTTGAGATGTGGGTATTGCACTCATAAGCATGAACTTGCAGGTGTTTAAAGTCACGATGAAATCAAATTTTGCAATTCTTGTTTTTTATGGAATAATGTAGTATTTATTATAAATGATTTATTTGTGCACATAATATTTTTTAGCTCACGTTCCCTCGTAATCTTTAATCAAAATAACTTCCCCTCCCTCTTGCAGCAAAATCTCTTCTCTGATGATGTGTTTACTGGCGTGAGGGCGGGACAACCTGTCACTCACATGACATCACAGCAATAGCAAACCACAACCATCCAATCAATTCATGACGGACAAAATCAAGTCCCGTCCTACATTTTTTCTTGTTCGAGAAGCCGTGTCCCTCAGATATTAATTGTTCACAATAACATATATAACATGCGTTAAAAAAAATATTAATTACATGCCAACTTTAAAATTAATACTGTCATCCGAATAAAAGTTTCGATTCACAAACTTGCATTGACACGAAGACCGAGTACACGGAGTTATGCCCAAGACATAAACATATATTGACAATGGTGAAATATCGGCTGCATCCGAAATCGCATACTTCCCTCCTATATGTAGTAGGCGAAAAACAGTATGCGACAAAATAAGTATGTCAGAATTCACAGTATTCATAAAAGAGTAGGAAAAAAGTACCCAAAAGACCTTACTATTTCTGGCGAGATTGCATATGATAGACACTTTAATATCCCATGAGGCCACGGGAGAGGATTTGTGAATGCTGATGGTATAAAGACAATATGGCAAATATAGTACGCCCAGATTACACACAGATAGAACATACTTTTTTTGCGGTTGCGAAGTAATTACTAATTCAAAATAAGCACCAACTAAGAGAGTATGCGCTTTTTAGCCACTCTGTTTGCCAGTTATTATACAAAACAAAAAAAAGACACATTTGACCGCTCAATTATGCGTTTGACCAATCAGAATCGAGTCTTCCAATAATACCCAATTTATCACAGATAAGACCAGGTCCAGCTAGGAGCAAGCCGACCTCACTCATATCACAGTGTACTCCTTTGTGCGCAGATAGAGGGGCAACCTTGCGGCCTACAGCTGCAGTTCAACCTCCCTCTCAGGTGAAGAGACGGGGATGGGTGTACACTGCGGTCTCTGCGTTATGAATCCAGGGAAAATTATATAGTAACCTCCATTAGGGGTCTGACAGAGGAGACTGAGCATAGGAAGTGCGTACTAGCAGCATACTAAATGAGATGCTATTTAACAGAGAGCACTCATTTAAGAATGTAGGCTATACAGATGTGGCGAATGTAGTCAGATCCAATAAGACGCTGGATTCAGTCCCGTCCATGATGAAGTTAATACGGGATTCGTTTATCGATAATTGATTGCGCCATTGCCTGTCTCTTACCTTCCCTCGCCTTCAGCAGCACGGTGTTGGCCACGATATTCTCAATCTCCATTGTCAGAAAAAAGATCCCGTGCAGTCCCGATACATTTCACTTAGGAGAAAATAGACGAGGACGGTCGCGCTGTTGGTGGTGGTGATGATGAGGATGATGTTCGGTGGTGAGGATGGTTATGATCGGCGTGAATTTGGCGTTGGCACATTGCAGGTTAATTGTATTTCTCCATATCTCGCTGTTGAACCCCCCACCTTTCCGCTCGCCGTGGACATGTAACGTTACTCTCTCTCCCCCTTGTTAGCATTCAGTGCTCAGCAGTCCTTCCTGTCTCGAGCGAGCTCTCGCTTACACCGTCAGCTCTGGAGGAGGAGGGATCATCTTACAACCAGAATGTAACCTAACAGTCTCGCTCTCTATCTGATTGTCAGCATTTACAATATTTGCAAAGCCTAGAGCCTACTAACGTTATATAAAACATCACGGTCTCACACACATAGCTACTCAGATTTATCGTTTACCCAGCAACAACAAGGCAGATTATTGTGAACAAGTTCATCATCTCAGTACAGAAACGTCCAGATAAGCAGGCTACATATTTTTATTTATTTAACTATTTGTTGGGAAACTGGGCAACTATGGATGTTACTGATGTTAGCATATTGAAGATAACAATTCGCGATTTCCATTACATTAAACAAAGTGTAGCTAAGACTTTACACTAATGAATGTAGCATGAAATAATCTAATATAGGCCTAATTAGTTACTATCTTTATATATTATTAATTTTAATTTAATGTTACGTATACTGTGGTATATTTTTAAGGTGAAAAACAAACAAACAATGAATTCACATCATTGGTTCTTCAACAAAGGGGACGATCGTCCACTAGGGGGCCTCAGCAAAAGATGTACAATATGTTAAACTGACATTTCATTTTAATTTGTCCTGTGAACTGTTTTTATTAAAGAACATACGGTTCTTAACTTGTGGAATCAAAAAAATGAATCATGGTTAATTGACACTCCTATAAAAGTTTGCAAACAAGCAGCATTATCATCATTACAGCAAAAGTTCTAAAGGAAATAATCAGTGTTGGGTTTTATGTATTACTAAGTAAAGAATTAATGACTTTTCCCTTTGAAAAACTAAAGTAAGGGATTACTCTTAATCTTTCTGAAATTTAATTACAGTTACTGCTGATGTAATTGCATTAAATACTGTATAGACTATTGAACAATTATAAAACAGCAGTGTAACCTCCCTTTGGTCATTTCAACAATAATTTATGCAATTTTATATTATTATTATTTTATATTATTTTATATTATCAACACATTTTTGCAATTTGAATGGGTTAAAAATGAATGAAAATGTCTCTCAGGGCAGTTCATTTTCATATTATCATTTCAAAAGTAGATATTTCATTATTTGATGAGGATAAAATTAAATTCATATACAATTATACATTTGCACCTATTTGCTTAATATCAGAATTTTGAAGTTGAGCAAGTTAGTAACAAAATATTTGAAAACACAAAATGTGCACTGTAAATTGACATGTTTTTCATCATAATAGTATTTACAAATTGTATTCATTTTGCACTACATCTTGTTCATGCAGGGCCCTTATAAAGTGTTGATAGTTTGTACACTGTAAAAATGTATTGTTGGTTTAACTTAAAACAAGTAAGTTGCCTTAATTTTGTGTTCATTGAAATTAAAAATGTAATACAATGAAGAAGATTGGTTTAATAAACAGAAATTCGAAATAATATGTTATCTGAACCACATTAATTATCTAAGTTGATTTGACAAATTAAAAAAAGTAGTGATAACAAATCATGAATTATTTTTTATTTTTTTTACAGTGTACAAATTAGTTTTTATGGTCTGTAGTTTAGAGAAAGATCAACATTGTGAACTCAATTGACTATATGTAGATCATGAGTATTGACTGCATGTAGTGAGTTTTATTTAATGAAGGACGTGATCTTTGGTATCACTGTGTCTGGGAATTTTAGGGTGAGATCTGTATGATAACTGCAGTGATTTGCTGACTCATGAGGTGATTGTGCATGGATGACCTTAATGCAGAACAGTGAGGTGGTCCTTGGATTTCCACCGCCCTTGGGGATATTACAGCCTGCTTCACTCTCACACAAGGACACACAGATACAGCCTGTCTAGACAGCGCACTCAGCTGTCTGATATTCCAATTAATTGGCTGAGACTTTCTAAATAAGCTTCCATAATAACCAATACACACTAGACCCCCAAGCTTACCTGCATTTAGTGTCTCTGCAAACTAAAGGTTTTATGGCATGAAATATTGTAGAAAGCAAAGCTTATCAAACACACCTCTTTAAGTCAAAGTGAATCTGTAATTCAATCCACTTATTCAATATACATTTCATCCACACACTGATAAGGAAAGGCTATAAGCCACTGAGAATTGACATAATCAAAATAGATGCTGAGCATTGCAGTGATTTTATTTAGTATTTGTGACCCACAAAATGTGACTATATCAAAAAGCACATCTTATGGCAGCACTTTGCTTCTTCAAAAATTGACTAAAGTATTCTGTTGCGTAGTCACCTTGTACACCAAAAACATAATGTAGTACAGAATCAATGCTTTTCCTGTACTATTGGCACATCAACTAAGTTTTGATATGTAGCTTTTGTTTATGTCGCATCAGTATACTAATCAGTTTATTTCATATTTGGGTCTCGAGATTTGGTGACTTTTATTTTGAAATTGTACCCTTGCCTTTGTCAAATGGGTGTGGTAGTGACAACTGCATCTCTACAGTGGTAGCCAGTGACAATTAAATTGTGATTAATTGAATGCTCACATGATGGTACAAGGACAGTTCAGAACGTGATAATACAACTACATGCACCTCTGAAGATTATTCTTTCTATGCACAATTACCCACATAGATTTTTTTTTCAACCAACAAGCCATGTGATTTTGAGTTTCATATTTTATTCAGAAGTGCTGAATAAATACTGCTGCAACCGAGAATTAGACTTTGAAATTTCTAATCACACAATTTAAAAGCATAAATAAAAAGAAACCATGTATAATGTTACATGATTTCACTATAAATAACATAAAGCATTTAAATATGTATATTATATTGTATTTATTTTTTCCTTTTTCATAATACTTCTTTACATCATAATAGACATGCAGCTATTATCATTATAAAAATTCGTTATTTTACAAGTCATATCATCATTGTCAACCACATACGCTTAATTTAGAGCTAATTATGGAACCTTTATTTTGAAGAATTGTGTTATGACATAATTCATTTAGCCGGAAGTGACTCTCCAGTCTTTATTTGTAGACGAGCGCTCGTCCCGTTATTCGCTGTTATTATTATTATCATCAATAATTATTTAGATTTTTCGAGGCAAATTAATTGTTCCGGCGAAACAGGCAAAGCCCCGTGTGGCATTGCCTACAAGTCTTTAGAAATGTCATAAACATGGAGTGAAAGGACAGAGCCAGGTTTCCAGTCGGTGGGCGATTTTTCTCTCTCCGTCATTAGTAAAACCGGGAGGAATTTCTCTGTTTTATCAAACGCAAGTATGTCAGGAAACTTTAACGTGCACGAAGTGGGCTGTTGCATCAAATACTTTATATTTGGATTTAATATTATATTTTGGGTGAGTTATCCATTTTTGACATTGTGTGCGTGCTGCTCCTTTTTCATTTTTTTTTCGCCCTGGGTTTGCATTAAACAACCTCCAGCTGTTTGACACATTGGCTTTACCTCAAATCCTAGTGAGCTGTCTAACTGTTACCTAGACAGGATTGACAAACGTTTCAGCCAGAATCAAACGTTCTAGATTTAACTTATGAAGCCCCAAACCTGTGTTGAATTTTCGTTAGCTTATCTTTCAAATGCTATGACACACTAAAGTACATTCGAAAGGAGCTTATCTTGGACCTTCCAAACCCGCTTATGACTCCAGAAATGCTTTTAAAACGCTCCGACTGCACTTATTGTAATATAAATAATGTCCAAACGTTACAAACACTCTTTGATAAAAAGTAATTCATAAAAGCTGTTAAAGCATTCCAATTTGCATATGCACCTATGATGCTTAAAAAAAATGCGGCTCTAAAGGTCATAACATGCTTATGATCGACACAAAAATGCTGTCAACTTTTCCAAACATGTTGTCTACGCAGGCAGCTCAGTAGGTTTTGAGACACAACCCATGTGACAGGTGGTTTGTGCTTTGTCCGTATAAGAGGTCAATCTATGGAAGCCTATTTCCACCACATAAGAAAAAAATTCAAGTCATAATTTTATGTCATAATTATGTAATACATTGGTCGTAATTGTACACCTGTAAATAACATCTGTACATTCATAAAACTTGATTTGTGAATTATGAGATTAAAAAAAATCTAAATTATGACTCTCATAATTTCAATTTATGCAATAACTTATGCAAATAATGTTGACTTATGTCATAATTATAACATTAAGTCATAAATCTGAGATAAAATGTAAAAAGTATAACATACTAGGTAATAATTATGACTACTGTAAATTGTAATTATGAGATTGAATAAATCAAAATTACGAGATAAAAAGTTAGTTATAACTGTCATAATTCACTTTCTATGTCATAATTATGACTTTTTAAGTCAGAATTTCTACTCATGTCATGAATTAGACTTTTTATGTCAACTAAGACTATATCTCATAATTGTGGCTAAGTCATAATTAATTATGAGATAAAATGTCAAAAGTGTGGCACACTAATTAATAATTATGACTACTGTAAGTCGTAATTATGAGATTAAAAAAATTATGAGATAAAAAATTGAAGATCACTTCGTGTCATAATTATGCCTTTTTAAGTCAGAATTTCGACATGCCGAATTAGATTTAGTATGTCATAATTTCTAATAATTATGATTTACAAAAGCAAGATTTTCTTTTCTTATGTGGCAGAAATGGGCTTCCATAGGAATGAATGTGAATGTAACCACAAACTAAATTTATTTTCTAAAGTAATTTATAGTGCTGACCTGATCTCTCACTCTGTCTGACACACAAATACACACCCTTTAGCTGCTGGGAGTGGCATTTCTGTCCGTGGCTCTGTGGGCCTGGAGTGAGAAGGTGAGTGAAGCCCATCTTTTCACGAGCACTTCATATATCAATCTAACAAATCAAGTGAGATCTTGGTCTAATTAAAGTGAAATAAAGTTAATGTTCTCAGTTTTGTCCCTGTTTGTCTTTCCATCAGGGTGTCCTCTCCAACATATCCTCCATCACAGATCTGGGTGGGTTTGACCCAGTGTGGCTGTTTCTTGTGGTTGGAGGGGTGATGTTCGTGCTCGGCTTCGCAGGATGCATCGGTGCTCTGAGGGAAAACTCCTTTCTTCTTAAGTTTGTATGTCATATTTTGTTTTTACCAATGAGTTCGTTCGTTTATAGCCTGCTTTTCTATATAGTCTATAGAAAAGTGTTAAAGTTTTAGGTACGGTTAGGTTTTAGGCTTTCAGGCTGGCATAAATTAATTTCCTTGTTATGACACTCGGCATATATTTTGTAATCTTTATCTGTCTGCTGTGCAAATTTTCTACTCCAAATGCAGCTTCTGTGTCTCATTTTGCAAAGTAATGTGGTGAAAGTTGTTACAGAGATTTACAAGAATGTAGGATGATTGCAATTATTACATTGACGTCATGACTGCCTGTCAGATAAAAGGCCCTTTCACGGCAAGAAAGATAACTATAGCAATGACTATATTAGTGTCCTCCACACCAACACACAATATCTTTCTGTTTATTATGCACACGCTTCAGGGTCATTCCATGTCAAATCAACCAAATTTCAGAAACTTCCCTGGCTCATTTTTATTGTTCATATTTTTTCTGAAGAAAGACACATAAATAGTGATTATGAAAGCCAAAAACATTAAATGTAATGAATGTATATTGACTAAGTAATACACAATTTTGTAGCGGGGTCAAATTGACTATTTGGAGAGATTTGTAGCCAAATTACAGGGGGGGGGGGGGTAAAAATTACTTTAGAAAGATGGCGGCATCATTATTTTATTTTTACACAGAGATTGGTGGGTCTATTAGTAAAATCTATTGACTTTGGCAATCTTTGTTGCATTATATGCCAATGGTGACAGGTCAAAAATGGGGGGAAAGCTTTTTTTTTTTGCCCAAAGTTAGCATGCTTGTAACTCAAGAAGTATTAAATATATCTTAATATCCTTTTAGATTTTGGGTTTTAACAAACGTTTGTTTTGGTATCTTCACTTTAAAGGCCCTATATGGTTCAATCCCAGAGATATGGAGATCTTAATGCAGCTCCATGAGTAAATTGGTCAATTGTACACATTTTCAGTGGGCAAAAACCAAATGTGGGTTACTTTGCCTACAGCAGGTACTTTTTTCATTTAATTAAAGAGGAATATCTGAACAACAAATAATGTTGAAACTAAATGTATCTCCTTTTTTTTCTATCAACACAATTGCATAGAATATACCTACTGTCCAGACAAATGTGAATAGTGAGTGCAGGTGTGTAAATGTGTTTTTGAATGGCTGGATATGACATGAGTAACTACGTGGAGGGGTGGGATAGACTGAGCTTGAAAGTGTGTGAACTTCCTCTCCCACAGGTTCTGGTCGTCTGTGTTACTCCTTTAATATGAGAGAGGATGCTGTGAGAGCTTTGTGGGAATGTCAAGAATGGTATTGCAAAAGTATTACAAGAGGCCCCATTTCCTCTGTAGGGTTCTTAAAACATCTGGAAACACCAGATGAACTAACTGTGATGTCACTCTGGAAGTATTCATTGCGGTCACAGTGACAAATCACCGCTCACTGTTCTTGTATAAAAAATTGTGTGTGAAGTTGGAGATGAGCGTTGTGAAAATATGTGAATGTTTTGAGACGGGAAATAAGAACTACGTCATCTCTTTAAAAAAAAAAAAAAGGAACATTCCCCTGTAAATGTGTCAAGGGATGTTGGCAGGGTTCGGAATCATAAAACAGAGAACATTAACTTAGTTTAATCTGTTGTGGGAAAGTAACACGTTCTTTATTCATTGGAGACCCTTAGGGCAGATATTATCCATCATGAGTTGTGTAACCCAAACTCTGCTGTCCTCTCTTGCAGTTTTCCGTTTTTCTGGGAATCATATTTTTCCTGGAGTTGACAGCGGGAGTCTTGGCGTTTGTCTTTAAGGACTGGATTAAAGACCAGCTCAAGTTCTTCATCAACAACAATATTCGAGCATACAGAGACGACATTGACTTACAGAATCTTATTGATTTCACGCAAGATTATGTAAGGACACACTGGCACACAAAACCAAACCATGAAAAGTGTATACATACAGTATATGTGTATATATATATATATATACATATATATATATACACTCACCTAAAGGATTATTAGGAACACCATACTAATACTGTGTTTGACCCTCTTTCGCCTTCAGAACTGCCTTAATTCTACGTGGCATTGATTCAACAAGGTGCTGAAAGCATTCTTTAGAAATGTTGGCCCATATTGATAGGATAGCATCTTGCAGTTGATGGAGATTTGTGGGATGCACATCCAGGGCACGAAGCTCCTGTTCCACCACATCCCAAAGATTCTCTATTGGGTTGAGATCTGGTGACTGTGGGGGCCATTTTAGTACAGTGAACTCATTGTCATGTTAAAGAAACCAATTTGAAATGATTCGAGCTTTGTGACATGGTGCATTATCCTGCTGGAAGTAGCCATCAGAGGATGGGTACATGGTGGCCATAAAGGGATGGACATGGTCAGAAACAATGCTCAGGTAGGCTGTGGCATTTAAACGATGGCCAATTGGCACTAAGGGGCCTAAAGTGTGCCAAGAAAACATCCCCCACACCATTACACCACCACCACCAGCCTGCACAGTGGTAACAAGGCATGATGGATCCATGTTCTCATTCTGTTTACGCCAAATTCTGACTCTACCATCTGAATGTCTCAACAGAAATCGAGACTCATCAGACAGGCAACATTTTTCCAGTCTTCAACTGTCCAATTATGAGGAGATGAGTGGTACCCGGTGGGGTCTTCTGCTGTTGTAGCCCATCCGCCTCAAGGTTGTGCGTGTTGTGGCTTCACAAATGCTTTGCTGCATACCTCGGTTGTAACGAGTAGTTATTTCAGTCAAAGTTGCTCTTCTATCAGCTTGAATCAGTCGGCCCATTCTCCTCTGACCTCTAGCATCAACAAGGCATTTTCGCCCACAGGACTGCCGCATACTGGATGTTTTTCCCTTTTCACACCATTCTTTGTAAACCCTAGAAATGGTTGTGCGTGAAAATCCCAGTAACTGAGCAGATTGTGAAATACTCAGACCGGCCCGTCTGGCACCAACAACCATGCCACGCTCAAAATTGCTTAAATCACCTTTCTTTCCCATTCTGACATTCAGTTTGGAGTTCAGGAGATTGTCTTGACCAGGACCACACCCCTAAATGCATTGAAGCAACTGCCATGTGATTGGTTGATTAGATAATTGCATTAATGAGAAATTGAACAGGTGTTCCTAATAATCCTTTAGGTGAGTGTATGTGTTACTATTCATTGCATGAATGTTTCTGCAGTGGGAGTGTTGTGGAGCTTTTGGGCCTGAAGATTGGAATCTGAATATTTACTTTAATTGTACTGACACTAATCTGAGCAGAGAGAAATGTGGGGTTCCCTTTTCCTGCTGCACCAAGGACCCTGCTGTAAGTAAACACACAGACACATGACTTCCAGTCATCTTATCACCTAGAATGTGTCATAGTCTCCTTCCGGAAGACCTGGGAACATACACCTACACACAAACATACAAAACAACAGTTCTCTATTTTATAATACTCAGACTCTAGGATTTAATGTGGAATGTTAAGTTGATGTTTTTCAGAGGACTAAATCTAAGATTTCTTCCTGTTTTTCTTCCCAAAGGAGGATGTGATCAACACTCAGTGTGGATATGACATTCGAGCGAAAGGTGTAAGTACTCTACTCTTCTGCAAAATAATATTCACCCAAAAATTCAGTCAACCCTTCTTTACACTCATGTCTCTACAATCTGTTTGTCTTTCTTTCTTCTGTGGAACGCAAATGGATTTAAAGAATATACATTTCCATATAATTGAAGTATATTGGGACTGTTGAGCTTAAAAATTACCCAAAATCCCAATAAAAATAACAGAAAAGTGATCCATATGCACTATATTGCATGTTTTCTGAAGCCATATGACAGCTTATTGTGTTTTAATAAGTAGAATTGTTTTATATTTTGCATGTATTTAATTTATCTTTGGCTAACACTGTGTCAGAACCAGACCCGAGTGGAGCGACGCGACAAAAGCAACTAGAACCCATTATAATCACTGATGCTGTCTACACTGGATGCGACACACATGACAAATTCCTGACATACTCCAAGCGCTCGCGCTACTTCTGACGCAAAGATTTGCAGTGGTCATTTTGTCGCGTCCAGTGCAAACAGCCTCAAGCTGTTGGTGTAGATACAGTGTAAATGTGTGTTTTTATGTGTGAAGGACAACGAACAGAAGATGTTTATACACACGAAAGGATGTGTGCCGCAGTTTGAAAAATGGCTACAGGAGAATCTAACCGTAGTTGCCGGAATCTTCATAGGAATTGCACTTCTGCAGGTGAATAAACAAAGACAATCAGTGAAATACACACACACACACACACACACACAGTCAGTGTGCATTTATACGTGTCTTAATGTTGTGCATGTGCCACTGTTAACAGAAATAGAGATAATGGATAACTGATAATGGAAAATTCAGGCACCTTGAACATGATACAGTGCTCTGCAAGAATATGAAGACCTATATACAGTTTTCTCATTTTACATTTACGCTACAAAGTGATTTATTAATTCTAGGTTCTGAAACCTAACAATTATTCAAAATATATTCAAAAAGAAACTCATAAAATATTTAATAATATGTCACAATATTACTGTTTTACTGTATTTTTTTGATCAAATCAAATAAATGCAACCATGGTGAGACTTTTTTGTGTTTTTTTTTATCTTACTAATTCTACCCAAACTTTTGAACAAAAATGTAGCTGGTTTGATATTACTTACAATCTCTGACAATTACATAATTGGGGCCTTCAGAAACGTCAAAACCCTTCAACGTTGATTACCATTTTTATATTTCATGCATTGTTTTAGTTTATCTCCAGCTTCTCGTGAGTGCTTTTTAATTTCAGCTGCTGTCCTTCTAATTTACAACCTAAACAACCTGCCAAGTGTGCTTATTTTATTGATTTATTGACAGCTGTGTGCTCTTTAGGGTGATTGAATACTTTTACATTTACATTTATGCATTTGGCAGACGCTTTTATCCAAAGCGACTTTGCATTTCAAGGTACTCATTTTACATTCTCAGTTCTTGCTTTCCCTGGGAAACGAACCCATGACCTTGGCATTGCAAGCGCCAACACTACTGTTTGAGCTACAGGAAAGCTTTTAGAAGGCACTAAGCCTAGATCCGATTTAATAATGTCCAGGAAGCCACCTAATAAATTGTTGTGCTATGTAATGTGTAACTCTGTGTTGTCTTGTTGCCTGAGACATTAACCCATCCTCTGCTTCTACTAGATATTTGGGATCTGTCTGGCACAGAATCTACTGAGTGACATTGAAGCGGTCAGGGAGAGCTGGTAAGAAACATCAATGATATAAGAAGTACACTGTCTTGAGCTCTGCATTTTGATTAGAGCCACCACACACCCTAATGTAAGGCTGGGAAACAAGGAATATATGAAAGAATAGCACAGTCCACACCACAACTATAACAATAAAGGCACAGACAAATGATATTGCTGGAATCACTTTCACAGCTATTTTTCCAGTTGATGAACGATAAAAACATGGAGAGCTAATCAGAATCCATTCTGCTTTAATGAGCTCAAGCATTCAAAGCGGCAGACGACAAAACTTAGAATAAACAGAATGAATTCATCCGCTGGCGGGGACACTAATATATAGTGTGTGTTCACACTTGGCAGGTTTGGTTCGATTAAAACGAACCTTGGTGCGATTGCTCTGTTAGTGCCGTTCATTTTATTAAGTGAACGCTGCCATCTTAACCCTGGTTTTTTTTCGTCATAGTCTAGATTTTGCCCATCACGGTTCAGTTCAGGCATCAGAACCGCGTCTCCACGCAGCAGATCTTCGTGTGTGCCGGAGGGATTTCTTGCGCTGTTATGACTCTTTTACACATTTTAAAAGCTCCTCATGAGGTGTCAGCTCCATCATATACCATCATATATACTGTACGCACATACAGCAAGCGTGTTAAGCCTAGCACTCAGTATTGTTTTGAAGTTCTGTTGCAAAATATACATCATAAAAGCCTCTTTTTTTTCTGTATCTTTAGGTTTGGTGTTAAAAATGACAGTGTGGACACTAAGCGAACCAGGACTAAATGAAATTTTTATTTTTTTGGTTCGGACCAAAAGAACCGAACTACAAGTGTGAACATACTTGTTATTATAGTTATCGTTCTTGGTGTGAACGGGCATTAACAATGATGATACTGACTAATGCAGATATATTACGGCTAATTTGGCTATATAATTATGGCTAAAAACCACCTTTTGTATTAATTCAGACTGGCAGCAAAAATCTGTTTAGTTTAATGCCTTCTCAGACCTTTTTTGGTGTGTTGTGCACTGGAAGAAATCTTTTCTTAATCAAACATTCAGTTTGATGGTAATAGGCAGGTAGAGGGTGTCTCATCTTGCTAACATTTCGGTCTCTCTCTCTCTCTCTTTTTTTTCATCCTCCAGTTTGTTTACCTGAAGCACTTGAGCCGTTCTGCAGACAGAGCCTCCATCTCTCTGTCACTCAGCAACAGGGTTTGCATTGTCATCAAAGTCTCCTAGCAACCAGTGAGGGATTCCATTCACATACCTCCTTTATTACATTGTACATCGACATCTTCACGTTTCCATCATAATGGTGTGTCCAATGCTAGATTTATTTTTAATCCTTCTTCAAATATCACACAAAGAAAATCTCAACAGTATTAACATGTTGAATCTACATACTAATTTGTCTTCCTTAAGACCATCCATAATGTAACAAGAAATACTATAGGCCACTTGCATATGGGTCTGTATAATTGTGCTGAAAGGAAATATAAATATTATAAAATGTGTTTGTCAGTGCTAAGAGAATAGTTATATTGGTAGCTGAAAACATGATCAGATTAGGGAAAATATTAATTACTTGCGGGGGATGTTTAAAATGTTGTGAATTACTAGCATCCTGTGGAAATCTGCTCAAGCCCAAAGTATACTTTGGCCGTCCGCTTTCCACTCTGTCCCTGTGATGTCATTTTCGTCATCAGTAGGACCAAAAGCGCATGTGCGACTGACTTGACCGCTTAAGAAATAGATAGTGCGCATGTGCAAAACACGTCTTTCCGTGTTCACGGAAAATGAAGTATACCTGGGCCTTCAGATTTCTGTAATTCTGTTGAGGCAGATTGTGCTAAATGATGAGTTACTGTCTACTTAACACTACATGAGTCTCATTATGACTCTCAAATGTATAGAATTCATTGAGACTATTTGTTAATTTTGTTCACATTGTCAAATTATGTGTATATTACCTGTTTAATGGATTTTATTAAAACAGTTGCTTTTGAAACTAAAGGAAAATGCACTGCATGCTTACTGGAATTACACTACATTTTCCCCGTGTGTTCAGCTATATGAAGATATTTTTGTGAATGGCTCTGTTTATGATTTTGAAATTATAGCCACTGTAAGTAATGGTGTCACAAGAATGTTTTAAAAACATTAGCAGTGGAATTTAATACTTTGACTCAGACAAGTTTAGAAAAAAACCTAGCAAACTGGGTCATATGGGTGAATTACAAATGTATTGGAGTAAGAAGTATATACTTATTTAAAAATGCAGTCAAGAAGAGAGTAAAAGTTGCTAATGTCTTTGATACTCAGTACAACTAAAAAGTAGCTGAAAAGATACTCAAGTACAGTAACTAATTACATTTATTCATATACTTTACACCACTGGTTGATTTGGATGGAAGCATATGCCATATGCACAAATGTAAATGGGCTTGATTATAATTGGGGCTTGTTATTATGAGATTCACCTGTATCTATGATATTGAATCATTAAATCTTTCTGAACTCATAGTGTCTGTCAGAAAGATGAGGAGAATGTTTTGACTGATTGTGAAATGAATCTGCAGCCTGTTACATAGTGGTTTTGTGACTTTTGTAAAAACAGGGTTTGTGAGATTATTTGAAAGCTGATTTAATGAATCCATGTGGCTGTGATAATGCTTTTTCACTTAACACTTTCCTGATGTGTATAACCTTAATATATTATGTTTGTTTTCAGTTGGCTTAAGTTTTGGACTGTCTTTGTGAAAGGTGAAGTCCAAAGAATAGCAAAAGACTGCATTTAAACTGGCTTTCACTGGTTTTGCAGTATGTGCACAGTGAAACTGGAGAACAGGGAAGCTTTAGTATTGATAATGTGCAGATCTAAAAGATTCCCTTTTTTTCTAGCACTTGTAATTTAGCCTGAATTTTAGCCCAGCTTAAACATAGCTTAAACTTTTGGTCGATCATTGACTAGTAGTGCCATAAAAAAATATTTAATGCATTTTCGTGCATTTTCTCAGAAAACTGTGTTGTAAAAATGACATTTTATGGTAAAATGAAAATTCACATAATCACACAATCATCTTGTCATCACCAGAAAGTATAGTTTTTCTGAGTAAATATGTATCTAATAATGGCGTACTTGGGGGGGATGGTTAAAACAAATATTTTTAACTGGATCTGCTTATCTTATTTGGGCAGAACTTTATTTTGTTTTTATTATTTAATTCTAATTTTCCCATGTTTCTGTGTCATTTCTTAATATTAATTTTACATTATCTTATTTAACAAATGTAATAATAACAATTTACATTGTTTTCCAAGATGGTGGTATTGGAAACAATAAATTTTATATGTTTTTGTATGTGTGGTAAGCCTGTCTATGTCTGTGACTCTTTTCTAGACCCTACTCATTAATAAAGTGTTATTAATTGTCTCCAATATTTAATTATCACCAACCTATAAGGATCATGTGCAGCATGTTTTTAATGTGTTTTAAAGTTTTATACTTTAAAAAAAATAAAATACCATTGGAGTGTTAAAAAAACAATAACAAACCTTATTCATTAGTTACTTAAAGGTGATCATTTTATCAATTTAATCATAAACATCAGCAATACACTAAATGTTACTTAATACATTTTATTTTTATGGAATTTATTTAAATATGTACTTTTAAGTTACAGCTTTTGCGTTTGATAATGTCAATTTGTGGCTACCTGTACATCTGAAGACTAAACATTCCTCGTGCAGTTTTAGGTTTGGACATTAGATGGCGCTAGAGGCTTGAAAATATGCATGGAACATATTACCCAAGGTGTAATGGTAACTGCCCTATAAAGATAAACTGATGAGGGTCTGGATTTAGCTGTGAAAATTACATAGAAATGAATATTTACTCATAGTAGAGAGCTGTACAGCAACTGTCAGAACATTGCAAACAACTATTCTGTTATGTGCCAGTCATGGTTCACGTGACACGGTTAGGCTACAGATTAACCTTTGCCTGAGTCTTCGTGGTTTATGAATATTTGTACAAAGCGTGGATCTTTATCTCAGAAGGTATGATTCAACGCTGTATTTCACTGATGCCCTTTTACAAGTTAATTTATTCCTTGAAATCCACCAACAAATATTAAAGTATAAATATGAAACATGAATTGTAACATTAGTAGCCTATACACATAATGCACATTATGAATACACACTTAACTAAATTTCAGAGGTGTGTCCACCTCGAGACCTTGCTGGGAAATGAAACCGCGATGTCTAAATCACCTTAATTGCACTTGCTTATACAACCCTCCTTCTTCCTTTGGGAAGCAGCATGGGTAATCTGAGCAGATTAGGATCTGCTGTGTCTTCTTAATCCCACCACGATTAAAATAGGATTAGAACTCATCTCCTGGCCTCAGTATCACAGTAACTGCTCAGTGGCACTGTCACTCTGTCTTTCTGTCCCATGGACCAAAGGAACAGCAATAGGGGTCACTGTCTTTTGAAGTCTCATAATGTCATTGCATGGCATTGCTCACTCACTAGTCACTACCAAATTCTATATACACATATGCATAAAATGTATGGCCATAATTTAACAGCAAAAAAAGTGTGGGTTTGAAACTGGTTTATACAGTCTATGTTTTGAAATGAAGATACTTCATAAGATCACATTGTAGGGGTAGGGCAGTATGATTTATCCATGCACATTTTTTTTTTTTTAATTCAAGTGCCCTTGTAATCTTTAATCAAAAATAACGTCCCCCTACCTCTTGCAACAACATCTCTTCTCTGATGACGTGTTTACTGGCGCGTGGGCGGGACAACCTGTCACTCACATGACATCACAGCAATGGCAAACCACAATGACATGTAACATGCTACAGTAAACGGTAACTAGTAGCCTACAGTATGTCCTTGATTTGCCTTTACGTCATTTATAAACTTATTTATAAAAATATTAAGGACACAACTTTTTATTCAAACGTAGGCCTATTTATTAAAATGTCAAAACATAATTGTTACAATATGACGGTTAAAATGGTATGTAAACATATGTTAGTCATATAAAGGTGCACTAGCTCTCTATCGCCATCTGTGGTTAAACATACAAGTGCAAGTTACTTCTTTTTTTTTTTTACTGGAAGCGGATGACACCGGAAGCCTCAAATGGCCGCTACTATGGAATTATTTTTGTGCCGATAAAAATGAACGTAACTTTTCAAGAAATTAATGAAAATGTAAATTGAAACTGAATAAAATATCTTTGAAACTGAAAAAGAATGAATCGCAGGCAATTTTTTTACTTTGTTTTTAATACACTGCATGTTTTGCTAACTATTCCTCATATTTCTTTTACTGATCTTAACTTACAAATGCACTTCAAGAGTTTTCATTTACACTTCTGAAGTTTTCCTTTGCTTCTGAAGTTTTCATTTACGCTTCTGAAGTTTTCGTTGACGCTCCCTGAGTTTTCGTTCGCTGTTCTGACACAATTCTCTCGTGGGGGCGGGGCTAGTAGCAGTGTGTTCTCATTGGCTACTGAGTTTTTGATTGACAGCTTCTTGACCTGGAAGTGAAGACGTCAGTGTTGCGTTTACTTGTGTGGATGTGAGCGTCTGTAAGCGCAGCTTTCTATTTCATTTAGGTGATATTAAGTTTATATCTGTATTTATTTACTGCTACACTATATTGTTGAGGTGATTTCTTATAGAAGGAATAGTACAGACGAATGATATAATTTGTCATCGTCGATATCAGAATACTGGATAGCCTAACAGTTACTCGTGGTAAGTCCGATTTTTTTTTTTTTTATGAATTAATACTAAACTAATACTATTTATAATACAGTACTTGCTTTTGGAGAGGCATATTAGAGCTCAGTGAGAGCCCATAACATTATACAGCAGTGTCGTCTTGATTTAATTGGTAAGTTAGCCCAATCATTAAATTACTTGTTTATCTAACGTTACGGTTTCATTACAGTCTTCGATTAGATCATATTTCCCCCCTGCCACCCCAAACAACATTGGGCTAGAGTACTGTACAGTATCTGTACAAGAGCGCTGTCAATCACTGCCCGATTCAACTTTGGCAATGTAAAGCCAATTGCTGATTAATTTGCGATGCAGAGTTTTTAAAAGAGGAGAGACAGGACTTGACCACATTTCACGTCTCTATTCATAATATGTAAACACTCAATTATTTTGAAGTATCACCCTGCGCAATATTTATTCTGCAAAATGCAACAAAATGCTTTTTCTGTGTCCATATTTGAGCAATAATAATGCAACAACAACAAAAAAAAATTCGGAGAAAAATGTTGAATTTTTAATAGTCTTTAATAATTAATATGTGTCCAAATGCAAAACCTAATACATGCAAGTAATAATGACTGAAAACATCCAGCAACTAGGGAATACACAGCCATGGATAAATGTTTATAGGGCTATACAGCCATCTACTGGTTACACGACAGTATTACAGATGATAAATGGTGCATGACTCGGAGGTAAATATTTAGTACTGTAAAATCCCTTAGAACATTTATATAATTTGTTTGAAATAATTATTTTAAGTCTGCAACTTGTTACTGCATGTGGGAGTTCAAAGCAGTTTGTATTGTTAGATCATAATACATTTCCTTTCTCATTTTCCAGGGAGTTGAGCAACTTTTCCATAAACAAAATTCTGATGCTGACATAGAGGATGGAGTGATAATACCAGAGATCAACTGTCTCCATCAGACAATAATGTTACTTTGTTCAGACATATCACCTTTGAATGACTGGGATCCTGATCTTCAGACACCTGATGTATTTTATTTTAATATTATAAAATAGCAAATATTTTAATTTCTTTGGAGCTCTAGATTAAAACAAACACAGTTTACAAGTACACAAGAGGTTGCAGTTTATTCTTATTAGTCTATGCTGATCATGGATTAGCATACCAACAGCATATGAATGGGATAGTTCACCCAAAAATAAAATTCTCACTTATTTTACTCACCCTCATGCTGTCCCAGATGCATTTTACTTTCTTTCTACAGATTAAGATTTTAAGGAAAGTAATCCATCTCTGCGAGTCCTAAAGATGCTTTAAAAACCACACACAGTGACCGTGATGTCCATGCGACCTCAGTGGATGAATCAATGCCTTCTGAAGTGAAACAATAGGATAAGAA